AAAAAGACAGAACAGAAAAAAAGAAGAAACAGAAGACAAGAAAAAAAGATATTTGTTCCCAGTATGTACGAAAACCAATTAAAGCTTACAATATTATATTATATTATGAAGTGCAAGTTTTGTGTCCAATATGCAAATTTTCATTGGGGTTAACTTGCAGATGAAAACTATAGGGACTTATTTGTGATAGCTAGTGGATTTTGAATAAATTATTTCATAATATCAAGTTTTGGGGACTTCATTGCAAACAGATGACATTTAACGGCCTATATCTCAAAAAAAACCAAAGAAAAACTTCAAATGTAGAAATTACAAAACACTCAACCTACCGAACTTACCGGTGAGCGACTCTCCGGCGAAGTTGAAGCCGATTCAGGATCCATCAGTCCCTAGCCTACCCTCCAAATCCAGAGAATCTCAACGGCTTTACAGTAATTTGTTTGAAAAAATGGGACTTTTATGAAAAAAATCGCTTCTTTTTCGACAAATTCGCACTGGTTCAAGTCGAAGAGAGGAGAGAAGACGGCTGTTAAAAGACGACGAGAAGAGAGAGAGAGCGCCAAAATGTCCGTCGTTAAGGCGTTATAAGTTTGTTTTCTGAAAGGCCCTTTTACATTTTTTTAATTACAATACATTGACTTTGGGCATTTGTTGAGAAAAAATTTGTAGTTGTCCCTTTCTCATAGAGAAAAAATAATTTCAGATTTATTTTTCTGTAGGCCATGTGGCGTTCTATAGAAGAAGAAATACGTTAGTTTAAAGCGAGTAGTATGAGATATACTTTTATTTTCATATTATTACTCTCATGTCGACATATTTCAGTCAAAAATTTTTTTTTAAGAAATTTGGATATTCAAAATTCCTAGGAATTTTCATTTGACTTTCAGCATCTTGTACTACTGCCGTACAGGATTAGTAGATAATTAACAAAATCAGTATCCTTTTATCCTAGTAATAACATTTTAGAGTCTACTTAAGATTAAATAGTAGTTGATTAAAATTTAAATTTCACCTATATAATCAAATCAAAGTGGGGGACAGATAAAGTCTTCTCTAAATTCTTAAACCTTCACATATCTTTCAAATCTAAAGCACCAATGATACTACATTTGATAATTTGATTTTAAATTCAAATATATTTTTTTAAATTAATTTGTTTCCCTTTTAGTGGCTTCTTCTACCTAGCATTTACTAATTGTTGCATGCGTCCCCCCAAACATTAATCCCTGGTCCACGTGTACACCAAATACTATCCATTTCTGTGCAAACTTATAAAAATGTTATAAAATTAGGAATACGGAAGTGTAATTTAAGCTATCCTTTTTGACTACTTTCATCTCTTAGAGCATCTCCAACAGTTTCCCCAAAAATTTCTCTAAAATGGAGAAGCAAAAGGCATATTCTCCAAATTATTTTTGCTCCAACTTCAACATTTTCCCCATTTTAAAGAATCCTGCATTTATTACAATAATAAAAATATTCCTACATCCTTATTTTGGGATGCTCTTATGCATTGGAATTGCCCTAATGTTTTTTTTTGTAATTACAGATTTTGTTTTATATTTATTTTCTCCTCCATCTTGTTTTGAAGAACGTGCTGCATTTATGATAAAGCTTTCCCCAAATATTTGAAGAATGCCCCAGATTTGGGGAAGACTCCCCTTTTTTTCTCATCCATCCCTATTTTGGGGAATGAGATGGGGAATCTGTTGGACCAAAAAAAAGCCAAAAATTCTCCAAAAGTGAGAATACCAATAAAATGGGGAAGCTGTTGGAGATGCTCTTAGCTTCTTGTATGCATTTATTTTGCCAAAAATATTCTCTTATAATTTTTACACCTAGTTGTTATTTCTCTTTTGGGTTAGGAACTTGAACCCAATGGGCCGACGCCCCATCTAGAAGGTTCTGAAGTAAATGCTTTTATCTTGAGGCAGCTGTCCATTAAAAGAAAATAATAATAATAGTAATAGTAATAATAATAATATTAGAAACAAGCTAGCAGAATCAATGTAGCTTAGTTAATGTAGGGTTAGATTAACGCATTAGTAGAAATCGTTGTATTGCTTATGGCAACATCCCCGACTAGTATTTGCCTCAGCCAATGTATACATTTCTGAGGCATGAGCGTCAGGGAATGTAGCCGTGCAAATGGCCGGGTAAATATCCCCTCCCCTCCCTCGCCCAATTGCTACCTAAAGCCCCCCCCCCCCCAAAAAAAAATAAACTTTGTACCTGAGCATTCTCTGAGGGCATGGAGGCCGTCACAGGAATAGCCGTTCTAATGGGGCAATACCCCTCCCCCGCGTGGCCAAAAAAAAAATAACTTTTTAACCTATATCATCTCTCCCCCCCCCCCTTAAGAAACTTTCCCGCACCTTGCACCCCCACAATCTGCTACACGCCGTATGTTGCACGCCGACGCCAGAATAAATCACGCCGTCATCCCTCCGCGTCATGTTCGCGTCCTCGTCCTCTTGCGCGTCAGCCGCAGTTTGACTCCTGCCACCGCGCCGTCCATCCACACCAACTCTGAGTGGTCAACCGCGTCTCGACTCCGCCGCCTCGCCATCACCAATTCACCGCCGTCAACACCGATCTGCTCAAGATAATATTTTTGGCTAATTTCACATTTTTATTACAATATTATGGGTAGTTTGCTCCTATTATCAAAATTGAAATAAAAAACCCTAATTAAACTCACCATAACCCCAATAGCATTATCCTAAGCATAGAATCGTAATTAAACTAATTTTAGTTTCTATTTCACCCAAATCCCATATATAATACTATTTTAAGAAATTTCATATATAATATTATTTTAAGTTTGATAATCCTAACCCTAAATTTAGTTCTCCTCAAATCTAATCAATTAAACTTATCTACTTAAGTATATAACTCTAATTCAACTAACTATAATAAAAAAGTTAGCATATTTCTATCTTTAATTAACTAATTTAATTTTAATAACTTTAATCTTAACTTTGATAACTCAATAATTTATTTTAATCCTAACTTTAATAACTCAATTAAATTTATCAACCTAATATGATCCTAATAGTAACCCTAATCACATTACCCTATATACAGAACCCTAATTAAACTAATTTTATCGCTTTTTCTTACCCTAATCCCATATATAATAGTACTAACCAAACTTTAGTTAGACTATTCCTAATTTGATAACCCTAATTGAACAAAAATTAATCAACTAGTACTCCTAATTATTACCTTGAACTCCTTAACCAAGTCAATTACCCTCCTAATTCAACTAACTTTTACTCAAATTTGATCTTAATCCTAAATCTAATTAATTAATTTAAATATATATAACTCTAATCCTAACTCTATGAACTAACTATTGAAAATAATCCAATACTAATATTTATAATCCTAATCCAAAAAACATTACCCTAATTGTAGAATCTTAAATAAACTAACGTCAACCATTACTCCTAATTTTAATTAAACTAATTTTACTTTAAATCAACCTTAGCTCTTAGTCTTAACTAACCATATTAAATAGTATTATAAAAATATTCAATAAAAAAAAGCTTAATGGTAATAATATTATATGACTTGAGTCTATCATCCTAACTAAAATAACTTTAGTCGTATTATCATTTTAATCCAATTCAAATTAAATTGGACTTTATCCTTAAATAACATTAATACAACCATTGTTATATTACCATAAGTC